CACCATGGAATTGCCCTGTGGGTGGGGTAGATTCACCATGGAATTGCCCCACAGATGGGGTAAATTCACCATGGAATTGCCCTGTGGGTGGGGTAAATTCACCATGGAATTGCCCTGTGGGTGGGGTAGATTCACCATGGAATTGCCCTGTGGGTGCGGTAGATTCACCATGGAATTGCCCGGTGGGTGGGGTAAATTCACCATGGAATTGCCCTGTGGGTGCGGTAGATTCACCATGGAATTGTCCTGTGAGTGGGGTAGATTCACCATGGAATTGCCCTGTGGGTGCGGTAGATTCACCATGGAATTGCCCCACAGATGGGGTAGATTCACCATGGAATTGCCCGGTGGGTGGGGTAGATTCACCGTGGGGAAGATGCCTGGGGCATGATGGAGGATAGCGTAGGACAGCAGGCAGCATGTGTGGCCTTAGAGAGAGGGGGAATAGAGGAAGGAAGAGCAAAACATTTCTCTAAGGCTGTGATATGCGATGATGGCACCACAATACCCAAATTAAACCTCTGATCTCAAGCTGTCAGGTTATTCTCCTGCTCTTTTGTACTCCGTGACTGAAGTCTTATTACTTTCTAAACCTCCCTGACAGGCTCTCTCACATGCCTTTTACCCGCTGTGTCCTGGAAGCACACGTTCTGCGCGGGCGTCATTGTTGAGCATTGTGCCCTCGCGCCGAACAAGATGGCCCTCTTATCTGTGGCTCTCAGGTTCCTGCTGGAGCCCTCGGGCCTGTGAGAGAGGTTGTGACTTCACCTGGCTGTCCAACAATTCCAGGCTCTGTCGACGCGCGGGCCTCCAAAGGAAACACCTGCTAAAGCCTGATGATTGTTTTCTGTGGCTTGTTTCCATTTCCTATTTTTTTTTTATATCAGGTGTTGAATTTGTTGGCACAATCTCCTAACTGGGAAAGGAGCACTAGATGTAAAGGTGGTTGATAAAGATGGGAAAGATGATCAAGATAAAAACTCATCCAGATGGGGGTTGATAAAGCTTCCTGTGCCGTTAGCTTTCCGGAGGTGGGGTCAGATACAGAATGGCTGAGCTCTGTAATCCGTGTGGAGTTGTTTCCATATTCACTTCCCGGTTTCGCAGTTTGTTGAGTATTTATAATTTACCTTTCACTTTCCCCATTAAGTTTTAAAGTTAAGTTTCGTGAGTAAATTATAAAAGAATATGTTCAGACTAACTTTGTGGGATGGTTGTGGGGAACTGTATTAAGGTTGCACCATGTGATTCTGAAGTTGAACTACTGTCATGCCCCCAAAATGCACCATTTGTGTAGCATTTGTGATCTTGTTTGTGTTGTAAGAAACCCCAATGTTAACAGTCTTTATTTTTGTTTTTAATCTGGGAGTCACTAAGGATGCCTGCAAGAACACTTGATCCCATGTATGAATGTTCACTCCATGGTTTACTCCAACTAGCTACAGTAGGCACAGTAACAAAAAGCGTGTCTTTGAGGAACACCAAATGATTACTCAAACCAACATAAGATCTGAAAGAATCCCAGTCTGCAGTATATTTGTTGTCTTTGCTTCTATCATAGGTTAACAATGCAACAACTGAGTTGTTAATTGCAGTCCATTGTGAGAACCCCAGCTTAGAAAACTGAATACTAAACAGCAGTGATACATATTACCGTGTATGTGCTTGTGTAGCCATTCGAGTTATTTTCCTATTAGCTCTACATTTGGAATTAGCAGCTCTCTGTATTGTGTTCCCTGGGAAAACAGGCATTTGCTGATCGACCAGACTTCCTACGAATTCATATTCACAGTGTTATCCTTTTATAGCCATCCAACACAAAGCAATGTTCTTTACAACAGCCTTTAATTTATAGAGCGTCTTTCATGGCAAGCATTCCAAAGAGCTGTACAATTAAAAAAAAAAAACTGTAATTGGCTTCGCTTGAATTGAACTGCTGCATGTTAAAATACTGAGCCTATTGTAAGTTGCCAAGATTAAAGAATAAAATATGTGGATGATTTAACTGCCAGCAACTGTCCAATACAATTAAGGCCTGGTGTAGACTCTCCCAGGAAACACCTGTCCATTGCTAAAAGCTAAGTGAGAAGTCCCTGTGCCGTCTTTCACCTTGCAGACGCAAAGGCTTCTGAACACAGACTTCTGAAAATGACTTACTTTATACAGGGCGAGTGTAAAATATGTTGGGGTGGCATCAAAAATAGTGATGATCGCAGCACCTTGCTTGATTTGTTTCAGCATCCGCTTGCAGAAGACAAGGCCTGAATTACAATCAGGGTACGAGTGCCGTGACTTTGCTGTTTGGGTCTACTCCAGTGGACAGAGAGCAGCTGCCGTAGCAATATCCTCCTGTGTGTTTTTCCTAAATTAAGCTCAGAGCTCGCCCCACAGTGAGAGTGTCGTGTCTCGGGAGGTCTTGGGGGTGGGGGATGTTACTGTATGTCCTGCGTCTTGGCAGGTTGCTTTCCCAGCTCCCCAGCCAGTACTTTTAATGGTTATGCTCATCTTCCAGCTCCTTGCTCTGGCCAGTGCTGGCCTATTCTGTTCTCTTGCAGTGGGATAATTAATCAGGGAGTGTGTTTGATGTTTGCAAATTAATGTTTATTTTAACACGCGTTCTCTGCAGGCCCTGCTTTTTAACTTCTGTTTTGCTTAACAAGATGTGCTTACAACAGTGGCAATGGAGTCTTTAATTTATCACCAGGACAGGGGTCCTCCGAGGCCCAGCCCCCCCTCCCAGCCTCCTCTCCTCCGTTTCCTTCCCCAGATGTGCTCCCCTCCCTGCCTATTCTGTGGAGCAGGACTGCTCACATTGGGCTGCACTCTCCAAGGGCTGTCTTCCCAAAAAAAATCTGTGGCTTCTTCCGGTGAATCTTAGCCGAATCCTTCTTTACAATGTATATATCTGTGGAGTTAAACAGTTTTTTTCCTGAAGTTTTGGATCATATGACACCCCCATAATTACTGTTGTAATTTGACTTTTTTTTTTACAGCTTCATTAATTTAATTATGACGTGGTTTGAGAAGTAAATGCAAAGCAAACATAATTACGAAACAAGGCTCCTACTGTATTACGTTAATCTTTTATTTGGGCTGATTTTCGTTTTTTCTTAAATGCATTGTGAACAGGGTCGAGTTGAGACACTAATTCTCACTTTTCCTGAACCTGTCTATTTGGCATTTCATTCTGCCAAATTAGCCTCCAGTACCACTTCGTGCTTTTTCTTCTTTTTGCCACTTAAGAATCTACTGACAAACAATTTTTCAGCTTATATATGTACGTGTACATTTACACAGAGGTGTGGAATTGCACTGTATCAATTAAAATAGTTATTAAAGTTATCATATTGCAAGCAATATTGAATACTGTTCTCTTAAGTCACATTTGAGTGAGTTAGGACATGTGTCATTAGAAAATAACACCAAAACTTTGAACCTCTACACACCTGCGACATGTTGCCATGTATCTGTGTCCTGGTGAATGTAAGTTTCATACTGTATATATGTGTCTTCCTGTGAGTGATCAGAGTTCAGCATTTGAGCGTGGAATTCATGGGCCATTAACTTGTCCTATATGACAGTTTAACTCTGCAACGAAAAGCCTCCTTCATGCTTGCTACTTGGATTTCTCATAGCTGGGGCAGTCTGTGAAAAACTACCCTTGCATCTCCTCTTAAAGACCTGTTTCTTATGCGTGTTTGTAGTCTAATTGATATCATCCCCTGGAAAGCTACTGTACCTCTACTGAAGCAATACTGTAAATCCCACAATGGTCTTTATGCGTCTTTGCTTCCTAAAGCTTAACGCTCTTTATCTTAAAAGCAACTGATGTTTTTGTGTTTGCAAAATATCTTTGTCAAATAAAAAAGTCTGCAACAGAGAATCACCTTCAAATAATGCTCTACAAATCGGTCTGGGACGGGCCTGTCACTTCTGTAATGAGAACGGCTATGAGTTCGGGTGTTAATGAATTTCGCACCCCCTTCTCTTGTGAATTTAGAGTCGCCATAGTTTCCCCTGCCGGCATCAGACAGACCAGGTGTGCCTCCTCGTGTCTTGTCTCACAGCTGCCAAGCCCTGACCCCACTCAGGAGAGAGTGACGATGCGGAGGCAGACTCCTGTCCTGCTGACAAGAGAGTCTAGGCGGACGAAACCCGCTCTGCCGATCATGCACCGCTGTTTGAGGGATCGTGCTCAGATCTGGCTGGGGGGCCGGGTTCGAGCCAGCAACATCTGATTCACAGAGCTCAGCCCAAGCGAGTGCCTTTCCCGGGTTCTGCCCCCCAGAGGGTCCTAGTGACATGCTTGTGGCTTCTCTTGCGTTTTGAGGCTGGGCTCTGTGGATTCTGCTGAAGCCCAAGCTCTCGGATGGTCTAACACTGTGCTGTTGTCTCTCTTTCCAGTGTCTCTATGGCTGCTATGTCCACTCCTCCATCATCCCCACCTTTCATCGCAGGTGCTACTGGCTGCTTCAGGTAAGGAAAGCTCTCCTACACTGGGATCGCTCTGGGGGATCTAAGGTTTAGGATCTGTTACAGTGACGCCGCTGCTCTCTAGAGCGTTCAGACCCTCCGTGACAAGGGCCAGGCGTTTAGCTCAGTGGATTGACCGAATCTCCCGGCTCCATGTATCAGGTGTTCGAAGACGATGGCTCAAGACTGGTGTCCCACTGTTTGCTTCAACTGCTTTGCTAAAGTTAGCCATGTGGTGGTTTAACTGCATGTGATGGATATAAGGAGGCACAGGATTTCAAGAGCAGTTAATTTACTTTTAAGTGTGTGTGTGTGTGAGAGTCACGTGTGCGCTTCAGGGTGAAAGATGTAAAAGGTTTGAAAATACTGTATATTGCATTTATATTGGGTCCACATGGTACACCAGCAAGGTGTATGAGAGGGTAGTTCACACAGTGTTGTCCATTAGCCTGACACGAAGGAGCAGCGTGTTCCTTGTGATGTTCATAAGCTGGCCGGTCCCAAGCACGGACTGTATATGATGGAGGCCCAGAGGCTCTCGTCTCCACTCCAGGCTGCTTTCACTCTGTCTCTTTC